AACTCGTCTCTGCTGTCGTAGCATATAATAACCTTTCTTTTACAACTACCCAAGTGAATTACTGCCACAGGTGTTCAAAAGCGTGATGCAGCTGTGTGACAAAACTACAAAGGTACCACCAATTGATTTATCCTAGGCAATAAAATCTTCGCCACCACCATCCTCGAACAGGCGCAATTCCATGACGACGACGTTTCGAGAGCAAGAGTTTGCTGAATTTAGTGCTCATCAAATTCTTCACTTTTTTTTCATGACTTAAAGGATCGACATATTTGCGTACTTGTATTCCGACAGCCTCTTCACTTGACAGAAAAAGAAACTAACTGATGATTGGTGATTCTCATGAGAATCGCAGCGCAACTACACAAAGGAATAAAAACACCAGCTTCAAAGTTTTCTCACTTATTATTAATAACCAACGCTGCACTTATCCACTAGTCGAACATAGAGCATTAAAAATCTTCTATAATAACTTGCGGTGAATTCATCAGCTGCAAAACGGTTCGGATTAATGGTCGATGTCGTTGCATGAATCTTAAGAGATCCATCGACGTAGTGTTGAGAAAAAAATCGAGAGTTAGTGGTTTGTGTGAGCACGAGAAGAGCATTTATCAGCTGGTCTATCCTCTAGCTGAATTCCGGAATTCGTCCGTTGAAAGCCTGGATAATGCCTATATCCTATATGCAGCATAAATACAAGAATACCATAAAGGCTAATTTCTACTAGTTATTTTTTTTGCTTATGGAGCTAGACCGATGAGGTAAAATTTCTCATTCATTACTGAAACGGAAATATGGCAGGAAATGATAGCATGATTTTTTTTAAGGAAAGATGCTAACGTTTCAGTCCTACGACATACGACGATGCTGGATATTTGGTTGCGACGTGGAAAAGCGAGGCTAAAACACTACGTCTTATAAAAAGCTCTCAGCAACATGTCAGAGGAAAACATGAGAGTTGTGAATTTAGTGAAAAATCTTCGAAGTGAGGACATCAGCAGCATTCTCGACACTTATCAATGAAACCTATGGTGATTTCCACGAACTATAACGTAACTGACATCAGGCGACCTAATACGAACTGAATGACTCTGCAACATTAAGCCGGGAATTCAATGGCCAACGTGAGAATGTAAACCTTCCGGCCAGAAATTAACGTACACTCCACATCATGTGCGAAAGCGATGTATTCAGTTCCCTTAAATTGTTATCTTTATCAAACTTCAAGCAGAACAAAAGCAAACCGACGGTACTTTGGAATTTCAATCGATATAACTTTTTAGAAAAACGTTTTTTTTTGGCTTCATAGGTAGAAATAAAAGCGAAAGTGAATTTCATCGGGGATTATCACCGAAGAATCGCGACACTCATGAACACACACACGCGGTGCAAGCTAAAATTATCCCTGTGAAGATCTCGCTGCGAAACTCCTTTCTTCCCATATGAATGTTTTTCTCCCATTTATTTACATAACCAAAACCGTTTAATTAGCTTCAGTAACATAAATTAGCTATTCTTTTATCAATTGCGGGATCAAAAACTATCTCTGATGTTCGTAGAATGGATGGAATTATCACTGTATTGACTCACATTGATAAACAATACTATAGGATAGGGTATAGTAACGTTCAATATTTGTGAGGCTTATGGAACAAGAAGAGTTTCCGGAAATGTTTGCCCTTCGAACGGATTCGACTTTCAAATTTTCTCGAGCGCATGGAGATTTACAACCACTTTTCCCGAGCTCAAACAAGCGACCTATTCAGATGTAATACTTGACTAGAAGAGATAAATAAGGACTTTAAACGATTTTACCAAAAACAAATCTTTGAACTTCGAGAAAATGGCTCACTGAGGAAGACCTGACTCGACACGAAGGCGAAGACGCAACGTCGAGGCGAACAACAAGCATGGACCATCGACTCGGATCACCGGCTCTGAGAAGACGAAGACGCCGAAACGTTAGCCGAAAATGAAAAAATATCATTATCAACCTCGTGTAAGCTCATCAAAGAAAGAATACATATTGATTATTGATACCGAGGTTCAAGGAAAGTCGGTTTCGAAATCTTTGAACTACTACAGAAAATCCAACACACAGATGAACAACTGTTTCTTAATGTTATCGCAAAGATGTCTCAGCTATTGTTGCCAAAGCAAAACGAAGGTAAGAATAGAAAATCATATTGTTCAGAGCATATGAGTGTGAAATTTTGGCTGTAAGATTAAGCATTAGAAAGCCGTTTGAAGCAGTGACACGATGTGCTGCCGGTACATCCAGTTGCGAAAGCCTGATAATGCAATTTTCCCATAATCAACAGTAAAAAGCATGGAAGCGCAAAGACCGAAAGATGTTGAGAGCGTAAGATATGCAGTATTTAACTGGAGTCGAGATGAATTGAATTAGTCATTCATTACTGAGCTTTTCAGCGCAAGCTTTTCTCAAGACTTCGGAAGACCAGTCGCTATTCTGAGCATCTAGGAAACCCATAGCGACCCATTCAGCATTCTATCATATAAATTGCAATTAAGCATTGGAAATAGGTGTCATGTCATGAAAGGTGAAATTATGATTGGGAAATGAGTAACTGCATTCGTGATTCTAAGACATAAGCTCTATTATGCCAGCATTTGTTATGTAAGGTCTTAAACATGAGGTATTTCAATGCGGATAGTCCACTCCGTAATTGAACTTCAACTCGTAATTTAGGTAAAGGTGCTTTGCAAGCTGAAGCCGAATTTTGTGCTGTGTTCTCATACCGTGGCAAAGAAGCATGTGCTATCGTGGACCGGAGAGAGGTGGTTAGCTTTCTTCTAAGACAACGTGATTCTTTTTGACTTCCAACTGGAAAGATTCGTCTTTCTAGACTTAAGTGGTCTGTGGACGGATGAGCGCCATGTCGTGTGCTGCCTTGAAAATCAGAAATTTCAACTCAAAAGCGATGATATGGTAAACTGTTGCGAGTGGCAAACCAAACCCAGCAAATAACTGCATAACGCGAACCACTGATGATGAACTTGTTTAAGTTCTCTTTATACTTCGGTGCCTCTATAATCAACTAATACCTCATGATCAACTCTCCTTGCGTAGATTTTACCACGATTTGTGATGTTTAAAGTGCAACATCTCATCTGATCATAGCTGTAATCAATAGTGGCGCTAGGTTTCATGAACTCTTCTCATTACTTTATCGTATTCTAGTTCTCATTATCCCTCCCTCTTTCCCCTTTACTCTCTATCTCCCTCTTCTATTCCTACCCTTTCTCCCCGCAGATCTCTTACGGATTTACCAAAAGAAATCTGTTTATGCTTCGCCGCCAAGTGGAACAGCAAATAATGAGAACTGATTGCATACAGATCTATCTCCTCGTAAATTCAAACATATCCGTTGTATAATGACATCAACACTAACACTAGACAGTCCTCGCCCATGTATTACTCTGTGCGGCTGCTATCCACCAACTAACTTAAATACTTACAACAAATAAATGGCTCCGAAGAAGGCGAAACCGCCGAAACGTCAGCAATTGTGTTCTAATAAGTTCTATAATAACAGCCTCGTGACTGCTTATTGGAGAAAAACATTGAGTTATCAATCAATGCCGAGGTTAACAGAAAGTCGGTCTTGGGGATGACACTACTGTTAAATATATATTGTAATCTTTGAATAACAGCACTTGTTAAAAAGTAGTTAGTGATGTTTTCCTGGAAGTGATACGAAGTGATACCCACCTTAGAATGAGAAGAAAAGCTTAAAAATCCTCAATTCAGTGCCAGTGGGGCTATAATCACAGATTCTTCTCTAATTTTCTAATAGCAGGTTGTGTTGCAGTATTCTTTAGACATGACTCATGTGAATCTCAGCGATTACTGTTCTGAGTTGTTCACTCATGCAGTACTCGTTTCCATGCTTGTCTTCCAGTATGATTGAATCTGTTTTAATGTCACTTAGTGAAGGATGTAGGTAAAAAGTTGGAAACTTCAAATCCAGTTGCGGAATGGGCGAAGAAAATGTTTTTGTAGTGGTTTGCAACGAACTGAACCTAAACCCAAAGCACATAAATTTTCCCTTTTCCCTAGACGTCTGATTGCATACCTGATGGTATCATGCGAGGCAAAAGTTCCACCGATCCGGAGACCGTTTGTTTGAGGGAAAGGAATATAATGGAAGAAGAACAAGACAATCTCGCAGCAGAACTCTGGCCGTCTTCATTCCACAACATTTCTGCCGATAACTAGAATAGCTTAGAAAAAAGAAAGCATGGGATGAAGAGGCGGATGTATTTAATGAACTGGTGACCTTCTTCTCCTCAATCATTCAGAAATTAGTGACATATCGACGATGAATTTTTCGCTGTTGTCGTATGAGAACGAAACTCTGCATTTGACGCGTTGAGAAATCTATTAGTGTGATCGTTAGCCTCCTATTAACTAATCAAAATAATGGTTCCGATTTTTCCATGCTATCTAACCAGATTTATGCTGTAGTTTTTTGTAATCAAGAACGGTATAAAATTGCAGAATTAACCGTTGTATACCGTCAGATATTTGTTATTTGTGAAAAAATCAACGATTAACACTGAATGCACATTTTTAACTTCCTTAGCCGCCTTGCAATTCCTAATGTCGAACTCGTGGAATAGGGATTGCGATGCGGAAGAGGACTCCAATCGATCTACATGGACTTGCACCTACGTGGAGAAGGTGTTGGAACGCAGTAAAACGACGAATTTCTCATTATCTAGGGAAAAGACACTGTCATCTAATATTCAACATGATCATTATGAGGGAAGAGAACAAATCCCCGAACTGCAGCCGATCACACGCACGAAGCTGATCACTTCTATAGATAACGTTTCCAAAACAACGAGACGGATGTATAAAATGCTGGGATTGACGCTACGTGTGAACACTGGCCACTTAATTATCTAGAGAAATTGGTGTGTAAGTTACTAATCTATAAAGTTGCAGGATGTATTTGAATTAAGTCACACACTACATGCTGACGTTTGATATAAATGAGATGTGGGTGGAGCTTGACGAAGGAGCCGAGGGTAAGGGGCGTGCCAAGTTGTGCAGTTTGGCTACACGCGGAACGCGTCCCTGGTTGTGTCGACAGCGACTGAAGATTCTTGTGTCAGTCTGCCCATTCAATCTTCCTCGTTACCGAGTAGTTACCAGTACTGTAGTCTGTTCACTTATAATCTGCTTCAACCGATGGCATAATCTCATGTCGCAATGGAGCTTCTCCGCTGCTCGAGTGCATCTGACCAACGGAGGACGTGGTGCTCACGCACCAAATGTGCTCGCTTTACTATTACTACCGATTCTCTGTCTAGTTGGTCTAATCGGAAACGCTATGGTCTGTATAGCGATCGCTACCGATCGTCGTCTACACAATGTAACGAATTATTTTTTATTCTCACTAGCACTTGCAGATTTACTCGTTTGTTTATTGGTGATGCCATTGAGTATAATCGTCGAAGTTAAACATGGTGATTTATTTAATCAGATGTCGATTGATTTCATTTCTATTTATACCGTAGAATTTCGCATGTTGAAACGAGTTCCTCAATAGCGTATTGTGTCTTGAAGAGTACAACGAAGCACTTTCATAATTTACGTATTTCTTTATTGAGCTCTTAAAATTGAACACATGAAGGGCAACATGGCGATGAGTCGGATGATCAGCGTCACGAACATCTACATTATTTTTAGGTGTATGGACGTGGAATGTGTCACTGTGTCTGCTCTACGTATACGCGGACGTATTTCTCTGTAGTGCCAGTATAGTACACATGTCTGTGATCTCTCTCGATCGATATCTAGGAATATCGCAACCGTTACGTGCTCGAAACAAGTCAAGAACGATGATTACCGTCAAAATTTCTCTCGTATGGATTATAACGTTGATCATCTCATGTCCGATTGCGGTACTTGCTTCTTACGACCACACGAATATTCTACAGAATAATTCATGTATGATATTCAGTCGTCATTACATCATCTACGGTTCCACGCTAACATTTGTTATACCGTTCTGTGTGATGTTTGTCACTTATCTGCGTACAACGACACTGTTGAACAAACAAGCATCAATTCTGAGTCAGAAGGCTAATGACAAGCTGCATGGAAATGGACTACGACGGACAATTCCACAACGGAAACTCGGGCATATCCATGCAAATTCCACAACCACAACGGCTACGTTTACTAGCAGTACGTATAAATCAACTTTAAATGGTCCGAAAACGACTACGGTGACCTACACAAACGGCTATCATAATTCGATGGTTGAGTTAGAGGTTCCAGCGTCGTCACCAGCAATGCCGTCTACTCGCACGACGGAAAACCATCATTTATTCGTGCATAAATCAATGCCAAAATGCTCAACCATCAATCGCTGGAAATCAAGAACGTCCAGCTACCTTTCTCATATCGCACTTCGAGTGGGACGACGAAGTTCTATTCAGGTATTGTTTGCTTACTATGATACTACTTTGTCATTTTGTTGTAGTAGCACAGAGAGAATTTCCCGAAAGAACTCAAGAATTTTGAAGTGAACGGAATTGATGTTGTCTGACAATCAGATAAGCAGACGTATGTTAAGGTGTTTTTTCATGCTACGAGTGAGGCAAATTTTCTTTCCTTTACCGATTTTCTTTCTCACCGCGACATAAGCTTCTTCTTTTAATTAGTGGAGAAGACGGTTCTACATATATTCCTTTCGAACTACATCGATCGATGAAACGATAAAAATCTGCTTTCCTGGAAATGCAATTTCCCGAAAATTTCAGGAGCATTTTTTCTCATTTATCTGACCATAAAACCTCCAGTAACTAGGCCAACTTATACGAGAAATTAGATCGTAAACTTTTCACTAACACGATGAATTAAGGTTTGCGTTCACTCTGAAAAAAGCGAAGGTGACATTCAAAAACAGAAGGCTGTACAATTTGGAATTTGCGCTCTAAATTGAGAAGAACCCCAAGACACTAGGATTTTTAAAACCCTGCAGGTGTTTTATGTAAAGTGCAGCGCATTGCCTTGGCTTGTCAGTTCGTAACGACGGGTTTTTTGCCGTAATCCAACCTTCACTTTTCATCCGTAGTCAGAAAAAAATGGAAAAACGAATTACGGTGCGTGCTGGACGAATTCCTCAAATCCTCGAATACGAATCGAAGACCTCGAAACAAAGAATTCAAAGAAAACTTTTGATTGCAGCTACTTGGAATTTTGCTTCTAATGATGTGCACATAATTACTTTAAAGTTCCAGACATTTCTGGGTTAAGTTTTAAGCTTCTTTCCTTACATATCATTGAGTCGTAATGACGTCCTACTACTGTTCCTCTATTGCAGACTGCTAGTCAAGAACTGGCAAACGAGCACAAAGCGACACGTGTGTTGGCCGTTGTATTTATATGCTTTTTCATTTGTTGGACACCATTTTTTGTGGCGAACTTTATCGTTGGATTTTGTGGTGCGCTATGTACAATGCCGCAATGGCTTGGTTCTGTATTTCTATGGCTCGGCTATATTTCAAGTACCGTAAATCCGATTATCTATACCGTATTCAACAAACGTTTTCGTCAAGCTTTCGTTCGTATATTACGATGTCAGTGCTGTCATACGGTGCGCGACCTATCATCACCGTATTCACGTAACTATACGACAACTATCGTACCTGACACATTCACATGGTACGTGGTGATTGACTGATAGGTTTCCTTTCTCTTCTCATCTACTTTTGTCATTCACCGTTCTTCTTCTTTTCAATAGACGAGCGATGGTGAATGATACGCAAACGAACAGTGAATAAAGCGAGTAGAACGATTCGTCGTTATAACGAGGAGGAAAAGATAACCGCTCAAACATTCGAGAACAAATTGACAAGTAGGAATAATGACGACTATGAAAATTAATATGAGACAGCAAATTCAAAGAAAACCATGACTGATCATTATCAACTATTTTATGATGCTTGCTCTTTTATTTACTGCTATTCACTGCAGCGTATTATACGTATTCAACCACAACGATGTTGAGATATTCGCAAAACTTCGACACCGGGCCAAATCGAACCACGACCTTCCTTTCCGTGGGCTCACTCATTACACACTACGCCACGAAGACCCTTGTTCTGTGTTTCTCTCAGCTAGTTTTCTATCTACCAGTGCCAGCAGCAATCGGCCATCAACGAGATTGATCTGGAGAGCCCACATCGGCATTGAACCCACTTAAGCTGATGCTGCAGTCAAAATCACAATTTTCGATTTGACGCAAACATTGTGGTTTCGACTGCACTTTCAGTTTAGTTGAGTTCAATGCCGATGTGCGCTCTCCAGATCAATTCCGCTGACCGGTGATTGTTGCTGGCACTGGTAGATAGCAAACTAGCTGAGAGAAACACAGAACAAGGATCTTCGTGACGTGGTTTGTAATGAGTGAGCCCACGGAAAGGGAAGTCGTGGTTCGATCTGGCCCGGTATCCAACTTTTGCGAATATCTCAAAATCATTATGGTTGATTTCGTATTTTATTATGCTTATTCTTTTTTCGTGTAGTTTTATTTGGTTTTTTTTCTTCAAAGTGAGTTCGCGAAAATATTTTTTCCTTCTGTCCTCTCTGTCACCACGATGACATGTTTCGACCGTGAAAAACTGCAGCGGTGTCGTGTAACAGTTTTCTCAAATATCTCAAAAAAAAAGTTTACCAACCATTTTTTAACAAATTCATTATAGTATAAACCGTATGGGAGCAAAATAAGTAACACTTTGGTAATATAACGTGCCGGTAGTGAGAAAAGCGGGCTTAGTTTTGCTACGTGTGAAAAAAATAACCTACTGGTTTTGATATTACTTCGTGAATCCGGTAGGTATTGCTAGTAAGAATATGGATCTAACTGTTTTTAAAACTATGATTGTTGCTCCTATTTTTTATAATTTGCTCACATGTGGTGTTCAGCTCCAATCATGACCGAGAACGAGGAAATTCGATGAATTATCGTGATGAATTGAATTCCAGTATGCGTCAGAATAGTAACAGAACATGTAAACTCCAAACCAGGTCTGATGACGAGAAAAAGGTGGGAGGATGTTTATTATCAATTATCAAGTGAGCATACCGTTATTAAGTTGTGACTGTAGAGTGTGAAGGGGCTTTTAACTGAGTGGTTAGAGGCGACCTTACAAGAGTTCGCATGATTTCGCTCCCGTGCCTGTAGGAACCAAGCCTCGTTTTCACGGGGTCTAAAAATTGATACTGAAGTTTTTTTTCGAGGATAGAAACATTGTCTTAATACACTGATAAGGCCAATGAAGAGGCCAAATATGCATTCAGTCATCACCACAATGCTTAATGGAGTCGGATTCTTGGCTCATCTCTTTTTATTCTTCATAACATAAAAAAGTGTAATCAAACAAAGACTTGCCACAAGTGAAGCACATCATGATATTGATGACATTATCTTATGGAACGAAGCAACATAAAATATATTAAATGGTATGTATGTTTATTATAGATATCAATGCCTAACCTGGCAAGGGAATTTACTTCGGTGTCTCCAAGAACGGCGACGATAATCCGTGATTCCCGTGCAGCAACAGAAGAAACGGTAAGCGATGAAGATGCGATCATCAACGAACATCATCCGTTACTGCCGCCCTCTGTTCGAAATGCAACCGCTGATTCAATGAGGAGGTCACTGACAACGTTCCTCACCTCAAGTGATACCACGTCAACATTCTCAAAATTAACGTCGTATGCAGAATGTCGTGGAGTTCGAGTGATTGACGTTCCTGATACAGGTGACACGTTGTCGTCATCAGCGAACGTTTGTCCACGTCACTTGACGCTATTCTCGTCGACATGCGGAAAGTCTATAAAGGAAACATTTCTATAAATGGAACCTTACGAGTTTGGCTTGTGTTAATCATTATTTATCTCACTACATATGATGTACTATACTGTACTATAACGTCGCATTGCATCTCATCACTGTTTCATCGCTAAAGCTACGTGTCTTTTTCTTCATTTAAAGTTTTTAATCCTGTTCAACATTGTGTACAGAATAAAGGTGTGGTAACAAAAAATGTTTTCTTCTTGTCGTTTCTTTCTTTCTTTCTTTCCTTCACTACTGGACATAGCTAAACTAAGTTTTCGTATTTTGGCATCCATTTCTTAACAATTACCGACAATCACGTACCATTTGCCTGCCGATTGAAGCCGTATTCTAGCTAGTTTATTGAGGAACAGGCAAGAAAATATTGAGTTAGACACACGACACTTAGTTTTTTCATGCATCAGTGACGTTTGTAAGAGGTGGTGAGCTTGGTTGTGCCAATAATCGGGGTTACTCGTCAGCGCATATTTGCTCCAAATTTTCTATTTACTTATATAAGTAGTCGCTATATATTGCGTGAGTTGCAATCCTTTCCTTTCTTTCGTTGCCTTTGTATTCGCTGTCCACGATGGTCATCGGATTAGCGTGCCAGTTTGGCTGCCACTTGAGGTTAATGTCTCCTTCGTGGCTGAATATTGGTCGAGTTTATTGAACAACAGTGTTATATAATAACACCTACTTCAAAATATTTACAATGTCAATGTATTCGAAATAATCTTGAAAATGTTCAAGTGGCAGTCCAGAGATTGAGATATAACGACTAAGCTAGCATGAGCTAAAAAACCTACGAGTTTACTGCTTTTCTCTAAAGGCAGCTTTTCAGTCACTTTTTTAGGCATTGATTGAAAGCCTGCCTGTTTTGGCATTTTTTCTTTATATGCTAAAAGAAGAAATCCCAAAAGATTGAAACAATTTTTCGCCTACAGCCCGATACGTCCCTTTGCTTGTATCATGACAAATGGCTCAATAACAATTGTAAACATTGAACACTCGAACGGCTAAACAAAGAACCGCAAAAATGCTATCCGTAATAATAGTGGAATCCGACGATTCGAACGTTCAATTACTGCTTCAAACCTCATCCAAGTCACCAAGCGATCATTCGATGCCGTGAATAATAGCTACCTAGCAGAAACGTTTAAGAAAAACTACTAGTTGTTCACAAGTTTCGTTACTACTGACCCTTTTGCCACATCTGGTCGCTTTACTTTTAAATAAACTCTGACTCTCCCTAGTTTTAAAAATTTAATAAAAGACATTATCGCGAGTCTCCTTGGAAGATTCATTGAGCTGACCTCGCAGCTAGTTACATCCTAGTAGCACTTGTATGTGGCACTCATTATTTGCATGAGCTTACAAAATTTTAACATCTTATGAACTCAATAGTAGTAACATTGATCAGACATCGTTGTTAAAACAACTAGAGCGCTTCGAAATGCAGCGCTTTGTCTTCGAAACTCTGCTGAAAGTGCCTTACTTTATCCAAATACTATTTGGCACGACTTTGATGGTAAGATCAGCTTTCTCTTCCATCGGTTTGTTCCATCCTAAATCTTGAATGTTACTCAATCGTTCCATTATCCGGAGAGCAACTCCACCTGCATTAAGCTACATTACTGCAACCTGTATTCTCTGGCTGCTGGTATGACATTCCTACCTAACACTTTCCAACAGCCATCTCATCCACGATCTTGTACAATTAAATTCCAGAACAGATTTCAAGTTCAACATTTATTGGGTTGGATCGTTAGGTGGAAGTATTATGCACTGATTCAAATTGTTGGCACATGTCTCTATCAATCTCGATGGGGTACTATTGTGGGTTTCTCTTCTTTACCGGTGACATTTCACAATAATTGATCAGATTTCGATGAGAAAAATAGGAATTCATTTTCAGACATGATGATAAACTCCTCACCGTACTTTAGAATAACATGTCTACTTTCAAATCTACTGAACACCTGTAGTTTTTATAGCACAGCTCATGAACTTAATTCTCTGCAAGTCAACGCATTTCATAGCTGCCACCAGTCACTAAAAAAGATGGAAGAACTGCGTTATCGAATGTCGGGCGAAGAATGAAATACCAGCTGGCGATACTATTGTTTAGCACAGCTCACAAACATGTTGACGTCGTACTTCTAATCATTTGTGAGACTAGACTTCGCTATATTCCTGTTTTTTTGCACCGACTCACTCGTTTTCCTCGCCTAACCATCTCGTCGTCTTATAACAATACGGCAAGCCTGCCAGTTAACTGTGAATCGGATGTCAACCACCACATATACTCTATCATTCGCAATCTTCGGATGTTCTATGTTCTATGTTTTATAGAAGTTGTATATAGTTTTTAGTGTTACGCACGTGCTTGATTACGAACTAGACAGCTTAGCACACGGAGGAAGAACACGTTGCTTCAAATAGGCGACAATAAAATTGTCACTTAGTGTTGATTATTTTTTTTCAAACGCCTGAATAAATCAGTGCCGCTTGCTGTTTTTCATCCAGCTCATCGTCATGCTCTTGCTTAACACTACGGTAATGATGCTGCTCAGGATCATACCTCTATAATCGATAATTTATGCACTGTTTGGCGTTCTTCGTTTGACCAAATGTTCCTTGTATACTAGTCCTCATTTCCACTGAAAGAACCTTGCACTTCCTTCCACACCAAGCCTCTTCATATATCTTCCGTACTTCAGCGTTTCTGATTTGACTTTATAATATTATTCGAATTTTGAATATTTTATGAGAAAAAGACTGACACATGAAGCCTGTTTCGGGCCATCACCAAAAATTTTATTTTCTTCATTAAATGGCAACTATGAAAACCTCTGTGTTAATCTCGTCATGGTCAACAACATTTCCATAGCACTGGATAATTGTATTCTGCAGTCGCAACGGAATCATACGTTTCGAAGAGACAAGAGTTCTTATAAAAAGAAACAGTCACATTTTAATTGATAGAAGTCGTTTAAATCACGTCTGGCTTTGAACTGTTGAATGAGTCTGGGATAAAGAAAGATAGATTCTAGGATCTTGATGGGATTCGTACCATAAAAAAGGCCAAAGAAGTCTGTATGAAAAGCTTTAGTTTTTCATTTGCATTTTATAGAATGCCTAAAGTTATTTCGAATTTAATGCATCGATCTTAATACGTGACACTGAATCTTAGCCAGCTGGCATACCGCGTGGTGCAATAATAGTGTAATAGTCGAATAAATCATTTTGAAGATGAAAGCAGTGTGAAATACAAGATGTATTGGTTATCTAAAACGATATTTCAAAAAAAATACTAAAATATTTGACGATGTTCCCGAAAACTCAAGGGTCGCAGTGTTAGGAGGGAAAACTCTCCCTAACGGCACGCTCACTATTAGTTTTGTGCACAAGATTCCCACCAGCGCCGCCCACTTCTAAGGAAACCTTGCTTAGGAGCGCAAGCAGTCTGCGCGCGCTTCATGATCAGTTCTGTGGCTAAGCTAGACTTGAAACACTAAATAGGAGTGATCTACAGGAAGTGGAAATAATAATTACCACCACCTTTTTCTCGGGCATTCCTTATACAGCATGGCGCCGACGTTGGAACAGATAACAATTTTCCCATATTTTCAAATAGACCGCTCCACTTTTCTACTCCAATCCTTAACTACTTTCGCGACAGAAAGTCTAGCTCCAAGTTAACAACAAAGCAGAAATATGGTATGCGATAGGTTAGTTAGATGTTGAGATAACGGAAAAACACCATGAAGACGTTTCGCTTTATAGCCCGTCATCTGAAAAGAAATTCAAAGCACAATATCGAAAATTGAGCAACGACTAGGTCAAAATGGTAAGCGCAGCAGGCTTAAAGCTATCAATTGTTTTGTACCTCAAAACTGAATTTTCACCATGCCCAGTCTTACCTATCAGTGCTCATAATTCAGTATCCACTTATGACCTAGCGTGTACCTACACCCGAACTTTCAAAGTTAGACCCTTAATCAGTTCTGTAGACAAGCTCACAGATAGAATAGCTTGGTTTATGAACCGTTTTGTCACCCGGTTGCTGAAACACATCCGATCCCATCCCACGAATACACAAATGTTACTGGATTCTCTACACAATGCGCTTCCTAATAACGCATATGTTATGAATTACTTCAACGTTACAGCCCTTTATACTAACTTCTCGGATGATTCCTTATTGCAAGTCTTTCACTAGCTCCTTATGCAGCAAGAAAAGGCAATAAACACGAATCACTTCCCCATTCGTCAGCTCATGGCCTTCCTAAAAAAGTGACTGGACTGCTCAGCCTTCAAATGGTAAGGAAAATATTATGCTCAATTTAGAGGGTTGGCAAAGGGACAGCGACTGGCATCAAGTTTTGCCATTGCATTTATTCTAAGGTGGAAGCATCAACAACTGGTCTCCAGCTATCATTCTACTGTAGATACATAGGTCAATCAGAGAACATAACACCACCAGAGAGGAACCGAAAGAAAACCCAGAAGAAAACTAGCATCCATTTCTGAGCGTTCAAATGAACCTATCCAGAATCGGCTACATCACCAAGGGATAGCGAAAGCCAGGTAATAAAAATATACTCGCTCACCGTCTCTTTTCTCATCATTCACACACAAAACGGCGTTTGTGAGGAACATACTTCGAACAATCGTCAGTGTGTACACAGGACAGGAGCAGAAGGAAGAGTCCCTGAACACTCCAAATACTCATTTTGAAAGATCACCAAGCTACAGCTCTTCGGGATAGGCCTAGAGTAGAATCCACACTCCAACAATAATTTTAGCGAGAATAAGGTCTCGCTTGTCCCAGCTACGCCTATAAATTGTTGCTTTAGAAAGGAATGTCTAAAGAATGTGGTAGTAGTTATTGAATCGCCACAGCACACTCTCAGACACCAGTTAGTTTGTAAGTGCCTATATAACCGTCTATGCACACTCCAAAATTGTATGTTAAAAACCTGACGGTAAAGATGGTGATTGCACTAGTTCGCATG